GTATAAAACATGTATTCTTTTTCCTGAACTATTTGAGAGTAGTTTGCAGACATCATGTCTCTTTACCCATAAATACTTAAGTGTGTATTTCCTAAAAAGAAGGATATTGGCTTAGATAACCAGAAAATCAGAAATGGGAAAATCATTAAAATAAAAAATTTAACATTGATTCAATACTATATTTAACGTACAGATCCTATTCAGATTTCATCAATTGTCCCAATAATGTTGTTCATATAAATTTGTTTTCTGGTCTAGGATCCAATTCGGGATCATGCAGCATATTTATATATTTTATTATTTTTGTGTGTGTATGAGGAAGACTGGCCCTGAACTAACATTTGTTGCCAATCTTCCTCTTTTTTGCTGAGGAAGATTGGCGCTGAGCTAACATCTGTGCCCATCTTCCTCTATTTTGTATGTGGGATGCCACCACAGCACGGCTTGATGAGTGGTATCTTGGTCCACACCTGGGATCTGAACCCGCGAACCCTAGGCTGCTGAAGCTGACAAACATAACCACTGTGGGGCACTGGGCTGGCGCCAATGCAGTGTATTTAATTTTCATATCTCTTTTAATCTGGAGAGTTTCTCAGCCTTTGTAATCTTTCATAACATTTAACATTTTTTGAAGAGTACAGGCCATTTATTTTGTAGAATGTGTTTTAGTTTAGATTTGTCTGATGTTTCCTTATAATTAGACTTAGATTATGCATTTTTGGCAAAAATACTACAGATATGATGTTATTAGTCCTTCTTAGCACATCGCCTCAAGAGGCACATGATGTCAATTTGTCTCATTATTAGTGATGTTAACTTCAATCACTTGGTTTAGTGGTGTCCACCAGGTTTCTCTATTGTAAAGTTACCTTTATTTTTCTTTTGTAATTAGTAAGCAATCTGTAGGGAGATACTTTGATCTGAAATCCTGTTCCTCATCAAATTTGGACCCACTAATTCTAGCATCTATTTATGATTCTTGCCTGAATCAATCATTACTATGATGGTAGTAAAATGATTTTTCTAAATTGATCATTACTTTTCCATTTATTTCGTTGGCGTTCTATTGTGAGGAAGAGCATTTCCTTATCCCATACTTGTTTGTTTGTTTATTATCAGTATGGACTCAAAGGATTCTTATTTTGTAGAGTGGATTATAATTCATTACTATCATTATTTGTTTTAATCCTCAAATTGTCCCAGATTTGGCCAGTGGGTGAGGCAGCTCCCTCTGGTTCCTTTGTGCGTCCTGAGTTCCCCATTAGAGCCCATCCACACTGTACTGTGTTGCCTGGTGCTTATCTACTAGACCAGAAACTTGGAGAATACTTGGTGCATAGGAGACCCCCGATAAATGTTGTAACTACATTGAAAACAACAGCCTCCTTTTTAAAAGTTTGCTGGGACTCTACCTTTAATACCAATAATTTTGATGATAATTTCCCTAATTGTAAAAATAATACACATTTGGGGCCAGCCCTGGGGGCACAGTGGTTAAGTTAGCATGCTCAGTGGCCTGGCATTCACAGGTTCGAATCCCAGGTACGGACATATGCACCACTCATCAAGCCAGGTGTGGCGGTGTCCCACATAAAAAATAGAGGAAGATGGGCATAGATATTAGCTCAGGGCTAATCTTCCTCAGCAAAAAGAGGAGGATTGGCAACAGATATTAGCTCAGAGCCAATCTGCCTCACCAAAATAATAATAATAATACATGTTTGACGCAGAAAACTTGAAAGTATAGAAAGCACAAAGGAAAAAACAATAAAAAAAATCATTCTTTGTATTAACCAGAGATAATTGATTACATTTTGATGTATATCCTTCCAGTCTTTTTCCTTATGAGTGTTTCATTTTTGTTTTGTAAAAAAAAAGTTACTGTAATGCAACCACCCCTTTCAAATTAGTGTACCATTTAAGAATGTTTATATCATATAAATCATGTATCTGATAAGGGATTAACATCCAGAATATATAAAGAACTCCTACAACCCATCAAAAAAACCAAACAACCCAATTTAAAAATGGACAAAGGACTTGCATAGACATTTCTCCAAAGAAGATATACAAATGTCCAATAAGCACATGAAAAGATGCTCAACATTATTAATCATTAAAGTGCAAATCAAAACCACAATGAGATACCACTTCATATCCATTGGGATGGTTATTATAAAAACAAACAAACAAAACACAGAAAGTACCAAGTGTTGGGCCAGCCCTGTGGCTTAGCGGTTAAGTGCGCGCTCTCCACTACTGGTGGCCCGGGTTCGGATCCCGGGCGCGCACCGATGCACTGCATCTCTGGCCGTGCTGAGGCCGTGTCCCACATACAGCAACTAGAAGAATGTGCAACTATGACATACAACTATCTGCTGGGGCTTTGGGGGAAAAAAAAAGGAGTAGGATTGGCAATAGATGTTAGCTCAGAGCCGGTCTTCCTCAGCAAAAAGAGAGTGTTATCTCAGGGCTGATCTTCTTCACAAAAAAAAAAAAGAAAAGAAAGTAACAAGTGGTGACTAGGACGCGGAGAAATTGGAAGCCTCGTGCATTGCTGGTGGGAATGTAAAATGGTGCAGCCCCTCAAAAAATTAAACGTAGAATTACCGTATGACCTAGCCATCCCACTTCTGGGCAAATACCCAAAAGAACTGAAGTCAGAGACTTGAACAGATATTTGTACACCTACATTCATAGCAGCATTATTCATAATAGCTAAAAAGTGGAAACAATCCAAATGTCCATTAGTGGGTGTATGGATAAACAAAATGTGGTCTATACATACAATGGAATATTATTTAGCCTTAAAAAGGAATGAAATTCTAATACATGCTACACCATGGATGAATCTTAAAAACATTATGCTAAGTGAAATAAGCCAGACACAAAAGGACAAATTTTGTACAATTGTACTTTTATGAGATACCTAGAATAGCCAAATTCATAGAGACAGAAAGTAGAATGATGGTTGCCAAGGCGGGTGAGGGGAATAGGGAGTTATTGTTTAATGGGTACAGAATTTCTGTTTGGGATGATGAAAAAGTTCTGGAGATGGATAGTGGTGGTGGTTGCACAACAATGTCAATGAACTTAATGCCACTGAACGTACACTTGAAAATGGTTAAAAGTAAATTTTATGTTATGTTTATTTTACCACAATTAAAAAGATGTTTATGTCAATAATCTCCAAATGTTGCTGCACAATGGAATCTCCTGGGGATCTTTAAAAAATATTAATGCCTGGCTCCTACCCCCAGTCATTCTGATTCTGATATGGGGTATGGCCTGGAGGTTGGGGTTTTTAATAGCTCCCTAGATGACTCCAATGTACAGCACAGTTGGGCTCCCAGTTAGATGCTCTTCCAACAGCACAAGAAGGTTGGGCTCCTAAACCTTTCTTGGCTGGTACAGTTGGCAAGGGGGAGTGGAGTATAGTCCAAACCATTCTCTCTGCAGGGCATGTTCTCCCTGACCCTCTCTCCTGACTTGGGGCCTCAGCTCAGTCAGGCCCACCCAAGCAAAGGAGGGTCCCAGTGTTCACCTCCGCTTTCATTTTTCATAGCATTTTTCACTTTTCTAATTTAATTTATTTACTTGTTCACAGTTTTGGGAGTCTGTTTCTTCCACTAAGTTCCATAAGGGAGGAGCAATGTCTTTTCAAGTTTATTCCTAACACCTGGCACATCATAAATGCTTAGTTAATGTTTGTGGAATGAATAAATATTGTTGTCCTTCTCTTCCATTGCCTCCCTCTCCCCAGCTCTTGGGTTACTCTAGAAAGGGATCATTAAGACCATTGTTCTAGCATCTTCTAACTCTGAGTCGTTTTTTATTGTTTTTGCAGAGTTTTTGGCACTTTCCCAGCCCCCTCTTTCTGTTCAGGGGCTTGTTCGTTTGTTCGTTCACTCACTTATTCAAGTATTTATTGAGTACCTACTGTGTCCCAGGCACTGCAGAGCAAAGGTACTGTAGGCCCTTGGGAGCAAAGCGACTGTTCTCAGGGAACATACAGTCTGGTGGGGGAGACAATTGAATAGTCACATAAACATATGATTATAAACCATAGTAATACTATGAAATACTGTGAAGGGATAGAGGAACCCAACTTAATGGGATGGAGATTAGAGAAGGCTTCCCTGGATAAACTGGGTTAACTATGCAAAGCGGAGGGGAGTGGCAGTGGGGGCAGTTGCAAGAGCAGCCTGGGCTTATGGAATAGTCTGGGCAAAGGCCCTGAGGCAAGAGGGAACACAGGACCTGGGAGGGAACGTGGTGAGAACTGAGGGGCAGTTAGGGGAGAGACCAGGGCTGGCCTCAAGGTCGCCTTAAAGATTTTGGGCTTTATCCTAATAGCAATGCAAAGATCCCTGATCCTTGTAAGGAATATATACTGGAGAGGACAAAAGTGAATGAAGTTGACCACTCCTGCTCTTTTCCCTTTACCAGAATGCACCACTCTTGTCCCCCTCCACCCAGAGTTCTTCCCTTCTACTCTTTCCTCCCAGGGCCCCTTTAGCCTATTCTCCATTCCCCCCACCTCCCAGCACCCTGTCTGTGGGTCTCACCCTAGTAGGCCTCTGTCTTTTCCTGGTCAGAGCCTCTGCTCTTTTCCCCAGCACTTCCTCTTGCTCTGCCAGCCCCACATGGTGCACCAGCCTCAGCCTCAGCAACCCCCACCTCCCC